TTAGTGACCAAGCCAGGACTCAAACCCCATTTCATTCCAAATGCAGTATTCTTTCCCCATTAGCTAGAATGTCCTCCTTGCCAAATATTCTTGATACACTATAATAATGACTATAAATTGCATAAAGTGCTTTAAGGTTTACAGAGCACTTCATAAACAAAAATCTCACTTTATCTTCACAATAGCCCTGGTAGGTCATGTGCTATTGGTTTCAACATTTTAAAGATGGGGAAACTGAGGCCTAGAGAGGTTAAGGGACTTGGAAAAGGTCAAATTGATAGTAAGTGCTTGAGAAACAATCTGAACCCAAGACATTTGAATTCCAAGTCCAACACTATCTACTCTGCCATCTAGCTGCCTCTAGATTTAGACCTCTCCTTTCCCTTCTCATGTTTAATTCATTTCAGGTCAGTGTAACTCTATTCTCATTGAAACACTTCTCCTTCCTATCTCAACGGCAATGAACAATTCACTTAATTTCTCTAGACCAGGTACAACAAAAGTGTTAGACAAAGGGAACTTAGACAAAGGGAACTTTAAAGATCTTTTGCTGTATAAGTCTGTGATTCCAAGATCCTGCACATATTTGTAAAGATTTGTGTCATTAATTTATAGCTCTTTGTGTATGTATGCATATTTATTTATGTGAACAAGTGAATAAATATAGTGTTTATTAAGCACTTACTACACGAACAGTACTGTGGTAAACACCAGAGATACAAATGGAAAAGTCATAATCCCTATTCTCAAAAAGCCCACATTCTGATGGGGGGGGATGACACATTTGAAAGTCTTCAGCCATAAATCAGATGGAAAGGACCTGTAGTCCTTAGGGTGCAGCATCAAAGCAGGCAGGAACACTTCTTTTTTAATGTCCCATAGTCCTTAGAATGCAGCATGAAAGCAGATGAGAATGCCTCTTTTTTTAAAAAAAATGTTATTTCCACTGACATCTGATGTAAAATTCCACTGATGCAGAATTATTTGGTAGTGCCCAAGGATCTAGGTGGCAACTTGCTATTCTCAGTCTTTGGTAGCTATAATTTGAGTACTTACAGAAGCCGTTGCCAGGCTGCCTTTCCACATCGATGAAGGCTAAAGGCCCTGGGCTGGTAGCAGTGTTTTCCCAAGGCTCACGCATCCATGATCCTGGTTTCTATCAGTCAGGGTCTCAGGGGAGATATTGCTTGAGGTAGCCTTGATGGTTTAACGTGGCTGGCACATGCTGCCTCATACTTTCCTCTATGAGTGCCTTGCTACTCCAGGTAGCATGTCCTATGTGTGACAGGTGGCTGGCATTTGGAAGGGATGGCTCTTCTTCCCAGGAGCCACTCCGTCAGATGATGGCTGTGAGGATTGGGCTAAAAGCAGGACTGGTGATCTTAGTTTGGGTGGGGTGTAGGGAGGAGGTATGCATGTTGATGCCCCCATTCCCAGAGATCCTGTGCCTGTCTGTCTGTTGGTGACAGTTGATCAGCAGTCATTTCTGGTGGTCTTGAAGAAGACTGGCCTCTTCTCCACAATGATTCTTTCAGTAATGACTTTGGAGTCTGGATTGGAAACAGGTCTGATGATGTGTGGGACACTATTATTCCCAAGATGCTTGGCCTCAGAGTCTAAGGCCATTTCCATCTGCATATAATGGAAGATGGTGACCAGTGTGGAGAAGGTTGCATGTTTTTATGGCTGCACATATGTGTATATGGCTATATAGACATAGATTTAGCAATATGACATACATACAGTGTATCTTTATATAATTCAAATACATCCATATATTATCTATCTTTCTGTCATCTGGGGCAGCTAGGTGGTGCAGTGGATAGAGCAATGACCCTGGAGTCAGAAGGACCTGAGTTCAAATCTGCCCTCAGACACTTACTAGCTGTGTGACCCTGGGCAAGTCACTTAACCCTGATTGCTTCTAAATCTTTCTATCATCTATCTATATTTGTATAGTATTTAGATTTTTCTCATTGTGAAGATGTGTTAATCATCCCTACACATGTTCACCAAAATATTATATAATATTTTTATATATGCATTGTGTATCCAAGTGCATGAACCTCTGTATATTAATATATAAAGTCACTACAAGAAGACCATGATAACTATAAGCCATACATGTATGTTTATCCTATATATCCAATATAGGTATATACACACCTATATGTATATATGCATATATGTGTGTATGAACGTATATACATATATCACATGTCTACGTATTAAATGTATCTCATTCATGTGTGTGAATTAATGACAATAAATTTAGGAATTGAGGAAATAATATTAGCGGTTCACTGAAATATGATCGGGTATTGATGTCAAAATAAATACTAATAATTTACATTTACACAGAACTTTATAACTACAAATCCTTTAAAGCCATTATTTCACTCGATCCCCATAATAACTATGAGCCAGGCAGTACAAGGACCATTGCATTCATTTTTACCTACAAGGAAGTGGTCATTCAGTGACATTTATGACTTGCCCAAGGTCACCCAGCTCCCAAGTTTAAGCTCTTGGACTTGAAGCTAGTTGTTCTGACTCCAAATCTAATCTTTTCCAAATGTAACAATTTAGACATTTAGGTAGGAAGATTGTGTGCAAGGGTAATGATTTCTTTTCAGTAAAGTAAAACATAATGCTGATAATATAGACATTTTTAGGCTGTAATTCCAGGTATAATGAAAAGAAATTGAAAAACAATTAAAATGTATTTTCTATGAAGATTTTGAGTGAGAACCTATCAAAAAATATCTTCCCTGCCTTGCCAGGATTTTCTTTGGCTACTTTGCTTGTTTACAATTTAAAAAAAAATCAATTTCATTCATGACAACTTTTGCTAAAGATTTCTTTTGGGCCTATGCCATCCATATCTCTTAATTTAGAACATTTGCTGATGTAGGTAGTAAGAGGGAAAAAAAGGAGTTAAAAAAGAGGGGAGAAAACATTCGTGTGTTTTATATTATGCTTTAAATGACTTATTATGTCTTTCACATTTTACATTAAATGACATGTATAAAATCCATCTCATTTAATCTTTACCATAGCCCACCAAGATAACAACTATAGTTGTTTATCACCAAGTTCTTATGAAGAAATCAAGTCCTAAGACAGGTAAATGACTTACCCAAGATCATACAGCTAGAGAGTGGCCAAAGTATAAACCCAGTTCTCCTCCACTTTACAGTCCCCATTATCCTTTCCATAGTCCTATTCTACACTGCCTTTCTCCTCTGACCCCTCCTTGTTTTTTTTTTTCCTTTTCCTAGGCAGGGCAGTCATTCAAAGATACTGTTTTCCTCTTAAAGCTCAGGAATGCAAGATCATAGATTTAGGACCTCCCTCTCTCAACAACACATATCACAAACTAGCTAAAAACCGAATCTTAAGAAGTAACTTGAGCACCGACAATGAGTGACTTACCAGAGGTTTGCCTAGCAAGTAGACTTCAAAGAAGTGATTTCAACTTAGGACATTTGACTCCAAAACTAATACTGTTCCTACTGCACAAGAGTGCTTCAAACAAATCAATTATGTTGAAGATGATTGTGATGATGATGATAATCATTTATATAGCTTTTGTAAAGCTTTGTCAAGTCTTTATATGTTTTTTTCTTGTTTTATCTTTACAACAACCTTGTAAGGTAGATGGTATTATTATCATCACTATTTTAAAACTAAGAAAGCTAAGTTACTTGACCAAGGTCATATAGCCAGTAAGTGCCTGAGGAAGGATTTGATCTTCTTGACTCAAAATCCAGTAATCCTTCTATACTCCTACCTATTTTGTGAGCTAGTTCATGTGTGAGTTCAAATCTTTTATTTCCTTGAATTCCCCACAGGGCCTAGCTCACTGTAGTACACATGGTAGGTATTAGTGATTATCTCTTTAGTGTGGGATGAAGGGACGTACAGACCGGAAAGGTGATGCAGGGGTATGCCTGCCATGGGATTATATACAGACATTGTGCTGTATGACATATGGGCAAATAGCTCCCTCAGAGTTCCTGCCAAAATCTCTCTCTTGCTCTCTCTTAACCAGCCTTTGTCTGGACAAAGTGAGATTTCCAATGGAAGTATTTCATCTCTTTTTAATCTTTCAATAGATCTAGGATCTTTGACATTATTAGTCTCTAATTGGCAGAGGTTAGCTGACTTTCCAGGGTTACCTAGCCCAGATGTGTCAAGAAATATTTGAATCTAGTTAGTGTCAACTACATTTAGCATTCTATCTCTTTTCAGTTTTACTGTGTCTCCTAATAAAGTTTTAAAATACATATATACACTAGCACACATATGTGCATGAAACATCTATGTACACATATACATTTTTGTTGTTCACATTGTTGAGTCATGCCTGACTCTTCACGACCCTATTTGAGGTTTTCTTGGCAAAGATACTGAACTGGTTTGCTTCTTCCTTCTCTAGGTTATTTTACAGATGGAGAAACTGAGACAGATAGGGTTAAATAGTTCATTCAGGTTCACATAGCTAGTAAATGTCTGAGGTCAAATTAGAATTAAGGAACATTAGTCTTCCTAACTCCAAGTCCAGCACTCTACCCACTGCATCACCTAGCTCTGTGTGTGTGTATATATGCATTTATGTATGTATGCATATATGTATGTATACACACATACATGTATAGAGAGAGGGAGAGAAATATGTATATTAAACAATGTAACATATATACATGTATATGATTACATATATACTTATATAATTATATACATGCATATATAACTATATATGGCTATGTACACACATGTGTTTATACATATATAATTATACACACATATACGTATATACACACAAATATATATATATATATATACGTATACGTTTATACATTTCTTTTCAGCTAAATTCAAATTTTAAATATCTTTAATATTCTTTAGTGAAGATTAGATGATATTTTCCAAATCCTGTTCTTGCCATCAAGCCCCAGGAGTTAATCTTTCCTCCTGTCTTGTGTTTATTTCCACAGCAATCCCAGAGTTTGTCACCCAGGTCAACGTCGCCTTGGAGGCCCTCAGCAAGAACGCCATGCACCAGTTTGATGACAGCCAGTTTGTGGATGCCTCCAAAAAGGTCTATGACTCGATCCATGACATCCGCTGTGCTGTCATGATGATCAGGGTAAGGGGCCTTGAATTTTCACTGAAATATTCTTACTGCTCATTACCCGGACATTCCATGATATTAATAAGGACCTGATGAACTGATTAATTCCTTTGTGTACTAGAATATGAAACAACAGCAATGGCATGTGAAAGAGGAGTAAACCCAGATTGTTTTCTTCATAGATACTGGAGACCCATGCTTCTTAAACTGTGATTGCAATCCCATATCCAAAAAAAAAAAAAAAGAAAGAAATTGGCAACAGTAATGGTTTCTGAACATGCAAGGACCAAAAATTATTTAAAAAATCAAATGCACAATGAATCCGAAGTGCTCCTGGTAGCACTTGACTATGTTGCGTTACAAACTTCATTGCAGCCTTGGTTCTGAACACTACGCACATGCACTTTGCACTGCCCATATCCTCAGGCCATGCAATACCTCTGTGTACAGAAGCCCTTCTGTAGACTATGGCAGGTTCAGGATTTGGGGAGGGAGGCGATGAATCTCCACTTCATGTGCTTTCTTTCTTTCTTTCTTGTTATTTTTTTTGGTGGTTAAATGAAAGCCCCTCCCTGGGTCAGTACTATAGGTTGTACATAGTTGTTTGCTATTGTATTTACTGTTAATTTGTGAACTCTTTGACTTTCTTCCCATCCCCAATGCTTAGTATTGTCTCAAGGACATATTAAGTATATGATAAATCCGAATTGCTTTATCCATTGATTGATTGATGGATAGTATAAACCTACTAAGGAACTAGAGCTCAGCAGAAGGTTAGATTCCCTGACACTTTAGTTACCTAATGTACTTTCCTTTCGGGAGAATGAAGGCCCATTCAGTAGACAACTATAGGTCTGGAGCTCTTCAGACATCCCCAGGGAGGTAGGGATGACCAGAAAAGGAAGGAGTTCTGTCTTGACTGGTAATGATGTTGTTCCTGAGTTCTTTGTCTTTTCAAATAATTCTGCCTCAGTGCTTACAGAGTACCTAAAATCATCACCGTCCCTGAGACCCAGACATAAGCCAAATGCAGGTGTTTCTAGGTAATACCCAAAAGAGGAACACAGACTGAAGAATATGCTTTTTGAAAAGATCCGTGACTGAGTCTGGTTTGTGTGAACTCTGGTTCTGAGTCACACTCAAAATGGTTCATGTATATTTATTTTAACAAATGAGAAATCTGAAGCCCCAGAAAGTTTAAGTGCTTTACCCAAGGTCACAGGAGTGGTGACAGAGCCAGAAATCAAACCCTTGTCCTCTTACTTTATAACCAGTACTGTTTCTACTACATCACAATACAAGTTTCCTCCATCTTATGCTCGTATTTTGTGACTCACAGTTTAAGAAGTGCCGCGAAATTCTTAAAAGGGGGACTAGGAGCAAATTTTTGTTTTTAAATAATCTGTTAACTGTATTTAATGTAATTCCATTCCTTTAAATACTATGTTTTATTTTGTGTATTTTAAAATAGTATTCTGAGAATATTTAAAATATTATTCTGAGTCTTGCCAGACTGACAAGGTATATATGATTTTAAAAAATGGATCAGAACCCCTGTTCTGGGATCAAAAGTTACGGAACATTGGTATATGGAATTTCTCCCTGGTAGTTGTCTATACCTTTGAAATTACAGCTCTGGTGGAAAGTGGAATATACTTCCCTGAACTCATACTGACTTTTCATGGTCACATATTTTTGTAATAAATAAAGCCAAGTGTGTGGCACGTTGAAAATTTGTCAGATTTTGTAAACATAAGTCCACATCTGTCCTTAATACTTCTTTTAATCAGCAGAGTTGATATCAGGAATTCTGTTTACACAAACATCCTCAGAATAATGCTGTGACAATATCAATGCCTTGGCTGGAGTCCATTTCCCAGCTTGGAGACAATGGGGGCTCTTTGATGCATCTTCATTATAGTTCCAGGAGAGTTTCAGTTGTTGAATACTTAGAGATGGGCTCTGCCTTTAATGTCTCTATATAAATGCTATGATTTACTCTAATGAGAGTTATCAGCACACCATGAAGAATAGAATTCATGAAAAATGGCATACGGTCATGGGAGGCCTGAAGTTAGACTAAACAGAATGGGCTTTTGGATAAACAGGAAAAAGGAGTCTGAAATCAAAAAGAAAATACATAATTTCCTCTGTAGGATCATTGCTTACTCTGGAGAATAGCTGTGAAAGTACACAGGATGATATATTTAGAGCTAGAAGCAACCTTAGAGACCATTGAAGCCAACCCCCTAATTTTGCAGGTGAGAAAACCAAGTTCCAAACAGGTTAAATGATTTACTCAGGGTCATACTCTCTATATTGCACCATGATGAGTCAATTCAATTTGTTTCTGAGTAACCAAGATCCAGCTTGTAATAGGCAAATTTTACCTTTCTGCTTTTCCCCAGTGCAACATACTGTGTGCTCCTTGAGAGAAGGAACTGCTTCACATTGTATTTGTTTATTTAGCACTTTGCACAATGCCTGGCAAATAGTCACTTAATCATTCATTACCAATAGAGCAATAAATTGATTTTTTGAATGCCCCATCACACATTTCAAAAGGTGTTTGTATCGAAAAACAGAAAACCTATACCAACAAACTTTGCAGATGTCCTGTGCTACTATTGTGCTATAAATTTGGATTTTGAGACTAAAGCCCAGTTTGAAAATGGAAGAGCAGTAGGGCTTGAGAAGTTTAGAAACATTGCAGTTTCATGGAAAACACACTGGATTTGAAGACAGAAAACCTGCATTTGTATTATAGTTTTGGCACTTTTTATACATGTGACTTTATGTGAGTCTCTCCTCCTCTGTAAAATCAGAGAATTAAACCACATGTTCACTTACACTCCACTTAGGTCTAAAGCCTATATTCACCTGACTCTTACAAAGTGTAGTGGTGGTTGGTGATTCCTTTACAAAAACTATAGAGATGGCCACTTTTATAATTATATATAATATATATGTAATAAATTATAAAATATATAGCATATATATACATATATAGTATGTGTATATGTGTGTGTGTGTGTGTGTGTGTGTATATATATATATATATATATATATATATATAGACACATATAAAAATACATAGACAGCAGAGACTTGCTGTCTAGTTTTGGCTACCATGTTTTAGGTAGGACATTGAAAAGTCAGAATAGACCAATTATGTGGTGAGGTTATTTCATGCCATATGGCATTAAACCATGCCTTAGAAAGATGAAAAATGGAAGTTGGGATATTTAGACTGGCAAAATGATATTTTGAGAATACATGGAAGCCATCATTAAATATTTTAATATCACATGGAAAAGCAATTAGATTTGCTTTTATTGGCTCCAGAGTACAGAATTAGGAATATAAATGAAAAATAAAGTGAAAGACTTCATCTGCATATATGGGGAACAATAACTACTACAACTACTACTACTACTACTACTACTACTACTACTACTACTACTACCACCACCATGACCACCACCACCACCACTACTCCTCCTCCTCCTCCTCCTCCTACTACTACTACAACTCACCAATACTTATAGGTGTTCCCAAGTTGTATAGGCTGCCTTGTGAGGATGTGACTTCTCCATCATTGGAAATGTTCAAGCAGATATTAGACAAATACTTTTCAAGAGTATTGTGGGGAAGAAGGGAATCTTGTTCAGGTACCTGTTGGACGAGATGGCCTCTGAGGCCTCTTTCATGTCCGTAATTGTGCTGTCTCGTGATTTTTTTGAGCCCTCCTATACCAATAAAACAAAACAAAACAAAATAAAATCAAAGTGTAAAGGTGAAGTTAAGTCTCTGAGCCTCACATGTGTGATCAGATGAGTGTTTGGTTTTTATGACTCCTGGCCACAACTCTCTCCCTCAGGGGTCAGTTATAAAAAGAGGCTAAGAGGATAGGGAGCTCATAACCTGTTTAAGAGGAAAAGATAGCTAAGAAAAGGTTTGCTTATTGGGAATGCCAGTAGCAGTGGGTGAAATGACTTATTCTTTGAGTTTCGCAGAAAAGTTTAGCAAGAATCAGTGAGGGTAGCTAGTCTGTCTTCCTTGCAAAAGGCACTGGGCTTTAGATAACATAAGTCTGACTCCCATCTCTCTCTAGGTGATTTCAAAATCTACATATCCAGCTCCATACCTCGCTTGATTTCTGGTTCAGCTTCTTTAACTTCCTGTTCCCCCTTTTCACTGGGTATCCTATAGCCACCTCAAATTCAACTTAGAATTCAAAATGGAACATGTTACCTCTCCCCCTAAACCTTCCCACCTTTTGTGATCCAATGGAGGGCATTCAGATTCATGACCTTGGAGTCCTCAGTCTCCCCCTATTCCCTTCCCCGTATCTAATCAGTTGCTAACACCCTTACTTCTTTCCTATCCCTTCTCTCCCTTCATACCACAAGCACCCTAGTTTACTCCTCCCATTACCTCACAACTAGGCTGTTGTGGTAATCTCCCAACTCGTCTCTCTGTATCCAGTTTTTTCTCCCTCTCATCATCCTACAAAGAGCTAGCACGTTGATATTCCTCGTGCATCGCTGTGACAATGTAATTCCTCTATTCAAATGTCTTCAGTAACTCTATTTGGTTTTCAGTGTAAAATGCAAGATTTTCTGTGTGACATTGAAATTCCTTCACAATTTGCTCCAACCTATTTTTCCAGATTGATCACACATTACCGACTCTCTCTATCCTCACAATATATTTTATCCCAGACAAATTTACCTACTTGCTTGAATGATATCATATTTCCTACCTATGTGCCTTTCTACTGGCTATTTCCCATGCCTGGCATGCTCTTCCTTCTTACTTCCTACTCTTGATACCTCTAAAACTTTTCAAGGCACAGCTCAGTCCTAAAAGGGGGCCTTTATTATTTCTCCTAGTTGTTAGCACTTCCTAAATTTTCTTTGAGTTTATTGGGAGTATTTCTTTTATTAGTGACAACATGGAGTAGTGACTAGAAGGTTCATGCTTTTCCTCTGACAATGCTAGTGGGTGCCCTG